GTTCTGTACTTGAGATATGAGGATGAGCGAAACAGTACCTGCCCTTGAGGCTCTCACAGTTTTGTATGGGAGATAAGCACATAAGCAGAGAAGTTCTGTATAAGGGTTAAGAAAGAAAGACCTGAAGTCAGACTGTCCCAGAAACCCCAGGAGGGCTTCATCATTTTTGCTAATTGTCCAACCGCTCTTAGCCACATGGAAATGTGATAGTATAATAATAGTACCTCACAGGAGTGTTGTGAGAATTAAATGTGAAAATGCATGTAAAGTTGCTTAGCCACTTCATAAGTCCTCCGGAAATGTCAGGTATTACCATAATGCGTTAAATAATATTATGTAATTAGGTGTGCTTGGTATTTGCTTCCTTTTGAATGTAGTTAGGTGAACTGGTTTTAATTACAAGCAATACATGATTAGACGGTCATATGGTTTTCAAGGAACTAGTTCGCTCTTAATAATAATTTGGAGAAAATTTTCCATCATCTTTCCATGGAAGTGGAACTGTTGTCAATCAAAAGTCCTGGTCTGTTGAAGTGCCTGAACAAATTTAACACCTCTCAGGAGGCTCGCTTTCCTAGGTAATCAACATTCTTTTAACACCTTTAATAAAAAAGGTTCTGAACAAAGAATGAATGGAGTTGATGATAATTAAGAACTTAAATTCCCTTCTCAAACTCACCTTTGCCTTCTCAGACAAAAATGAAATATTCGTTATTGTTGAGATGCCCATGAGCATGAATGCCTTTTATCAAAACCCACTAAATACCGTAAATAGGTAAACAACAGAAGAAGTAGCTAAAAGAATTAAAAATGATTGCTGTGGAGGTGGGAAGAGAGGGAGAAAGGAAACTACTTTTTTTAAAAATAAGCTTTGTAGTTATTATTTGACTTTGAAAACTTAGTTGTATATTACTTCCAAAAATTTATTAAAATTAATTTTAAATAGTAGGAAAGGAAATAATAAGGTTTTATGTAATTTTCTGTAAGAAATGATTATAAATAACAACATTGAGGTCTCTCATTGTACATGGGAGCCCATGATACACAGCAAAATACAGTAGTCTTTCCACTAGTCAGTGAGTATTATTGAAGTTTATTCTTTGCCAGACACTGTGGTAGGCTCTGGAATATAGTGGAACACTAAACTATAGCCTGGTGGGAAAGAAACATTTAACCAATAAGCATTCAAATAAATAACTAAGAATTCTAAGTGAAGAGTGTAGAGCAGGGATCCAGATTTAAAATGTGGGCTATTTTACCTCACTTGATTATTTTTGTGTAATATGTGAAATAAGTCTCTATATTTGTTTTATTTCAAGCAATAGTTGTCCATGCATCTTATTTGTTGATAAGCCTTATTTTCTAGAGCATTTCTAGGATGCTCATTTTATTTCATTGATCTACTTGATTATTTCTGTGCTGGCGTCATGTTGTTTTAATTTCTGAGAGTTTATAATGGATTTAAATTTTTTAATATTTTATAATAGATCTTGACACACACACAAAATAAATAAAATCAATCTGCATTTAAAAAAAAAGAAAGACAGAACTCCTACCTTTTGTGACATCATGGAGGGAACTGGAGAATATTATACTAAGCGAAATAAGCCAATCGTTGACAGAAAAATACCATATGATTTCACCTATAAGTAGAATTTATTCAGCAAAATAAACTAACAAACAAAATAAGCCACAGGGATGAAAACATGGAGCAGACTGAGAGTGACCAGAGGGGATGGGGAAGGAGGACAATGGTAGGAAGGAGGGGAAGGGGCTAAACAAAGTACATGTATGAATGACCCATGGACATGGACAACAGAGTGGGAATTGACTATGGGACATGGGGTAGGGTGGGTGGGTGGAGGAGGGCAAAGGGAGAAAAATTAAGACAACTGTAATAGAATAAACATGATTTAAAAATAAAATTTAAAAAATGTGGGCTAAGCTTGTGGAAGTCAAGGAAGAGTTCATTTAGGATCGTAACATCTAAAAATACAGCTAACTCTTTAGAATTGTTGGTGATTTTCTCCTTAATTCCAAAACCATTAACAAATTCAGGAAATAAAAGTTTAGTCAAATCAACTGTTTGGTTATTTCATGGAAAATACTAAATTGATATAAATTATGTATTATATTTCCCAAGTGCAAAAATAATGTTAAACATGACTTTTCTGTTTGATTGTCATTCTGTCCCAAGTGGGCTTTCATTTCATTAACTCTATTTAAAATAAAACCAGTCATCTCTGGAATGATTTTATCATAACATACATACAAAATGTATGCTTAATTATAGTTGCTTACAGGCACTGACCAAGAAGATGGGGAAAATGTAGAAGATGGCAAAGTGCTAGGCTTCCTACCTTGCTAGGGAGGGATGCCTGGCTCTGGAATCATATTTTACTTGTAACATGGCATTTCTCCATTGTTTGCCTTTTGTTTTTTGAGAGATTGAACGGGGAAAGGGAATTTCAGCACGCAGGTGAAACTACTTGTTTGGTAGGAGGGATTATATTACATCACTCCATAAAAGTGATATTTTCAGGCCCTGGTTGGGTAGCTCAGTTAGTTAGAGCGTTATCCTCGTATGGTGAGGTTGCAGGTTCAATCCTCAGTCAGGGCACATACAAGAATCAACCAATGAATGCATAAATAAGTGGAACAACAAGTCAAAGTCTCTTTCTTTCTTTACCCTCCTCTCCTGAGTTAAAAAAATAAAATCACTGTAGAGAGTGTTTCTCCATTTTAACTTTATATTAGAATATTTACAAAATATTCACTCATTTATTTCAATCTTACATAAACAAAACCTTGGTGTTTAAAAAAAAAAAAATCAGATCTCTTCCCTAGCCATGACAAATGGAACCCGCTGGAATCTTCTGGCTGCTCTTCAGTAATTTCCTAAAGAATGACCACTTTTTCCTTTTCATGTTTTTCTCAAGCAATTGGTAAATAATTTATTCATCAAATTTAAGAGAATGCCCTAACAGAAATTTTTTGGAAGAGCTGGTGTTTTTCTTGCTGAGGCAGACAGTTGACGGGTTCTCTGGCGAACTGTATACAGCAGTCAGTGGAATTATAGCAAGAAGCCCAGCTATGTTGTACTAATCTTCCTCACAAGAAATGAATGCATCGACACAAAGCATTTGATGCAAAATAAATAAACTCCTTTAGCAGAACACTGTCACAGGATCTGAATGTCCTACTTTTGGAAAGGAAGGAATGAGCACAACACAGCTTTACCGTAACAGCAGGAAACAACTATTTTGCTGCTCACAGTATTATCTTTCAGCTGATGTTTTCTCTTAGGATGAAGCACAAATCCAAAATGCTATCTAAACTAATCACAAATAATATCATCATGCGAGCTCTCTTATTAGAGACATCGGTCATTAAATTAACTAGAAACCCAAGAATTTGCTACCTTTCCACAAAGTCATGTTAGTTATGTGAATTATGTCATAATACACCCTCATAAAAGGACTGATTAAATAGGACAATAACAACATCTCACACTTCTTCAGGTCTTAGTACAAACCAGGCACTGTCGATAGTTTACTGATGGGTTTCTTCCCTAGATCATAGATGAAAAAACTGGAATTAATTGTAATAAAAAATACTACAGCCCTGGTCGGTGTGGCTCAGTTGGTTGAAGCGGTGTCCAGTAACCAAAGTGTTGCGGGTTCATTCCCATTCAGGGCACATACTAGGTTGTACACTGGTCTGGCGCAGGCTCATACCATCCCTCCCCCTTCCATCTGGAAGCATTTGATCCCTGGTCTGTGTGCAGATCCCCAGAGTCTGGACTTGAGGGCTGGAACGAGAGGCAACCGACTGATGCTCCTCTCTTGCATGGATGTTTCTCTTTCTCCCTTCCTGTCTCTAAAAAGCAATGAAAAAAAAAGTCCTTGGATGAGGATTTAAAAAGAAATAATACAGTACATATGACCACTTTCTTTGATTTCAGTATTAGAAGGGAGGAAAAAATAAATACCTTTTCCTCTTCCCCATTTGAATTCTCAGCTAGAGATCCTGAAGCGAAAGGCAGATTAACACATTTATTTCAATTTTTATTTATTTACATTAACTACAAACAAATGAATATAAATTACATGTTATAAATATTATATTTAAAATTTATATTAATTTTTATTTAAAGGACAGAAAAACATACACATTTATTTAATACAAGTGTTAAATAACACAGGAGCATTCATAAAGAAGGCTTCATAATGAAAATCTGAAGAAACAGTTAAAGGTGAGTGTTTTCATACGAGGCTTGATGAAAAGTGGAGAGTCATGGAGAAGTGTGTTGGCCCAGAAGGGTTATGCACTAAGGGGAGTAAATGGGGAAATGTAGCAAGTCCTGTTTTTTCAAATTCCTCTCCTGTCTCTCTAGCCTCAGAGGTAAGGATGCTCCTTTGCTCTGGGTATAGGAGAGGCACTCCTTACACATGGGTTTTATGACCTGCTTCAGGAAAAAGTAAAAAAGGCCTTTTTAGCCCTGACCTCTCTCAGCTCAGTGGGTCCTGCAAAGCGAAAGGTCGCCCATTGATGCCCAGTCAGGGCACGTGCCTGAGTTGCAGATTTGGTTGGGTCAAGGTGCATTAGGAGACGCAGCCTATTAATGTTTCTCTCTCTCTTCCTCCCTTCCCCTCACTCTAAAAAATAATTTTTTTTTAAAAAAAAGGCCTTCATATACCCACTTTTTCTCAAATTCCTTCAGCATAAAATATTTAATAAGCCAAGGTACCATATTTGGGGGTAGCATGTCCTGAAGCCCATTAATATCTACGCTGGATTGAAGGGAAGGCTGTGAAGTAGTATCTACAAATAAGAAAATAGGAAATAGAAAAACACAAACAGAGGTAAAATAGGAAATAAGAGAGAAGGAAATCACAATAGTAAGAGATGCCTATATCAGGCACTGAGCTTCACTTAATTGCCTCATTTCATCCTCACAGCTGCCCAATAAAGTAAATATTATTATCCCTATTTTACAGGTGGAGAAATTGAAGCTTAGAGCTTTTAGCTAATTTCCCAAGGCCACACAGGTAGGTGAAAAATGGCACTGCAATTAGAAACCAAGGTCTGTCTGACTCCAGGGCTCTCTTGTTTTTAACTGCTATAAATTACTGCCCAGAAATGCTTGTGATTGTTTACATGGAAGCACTTGCTGAGAAGGGACTGGTGGGAAAGAGGGAGGCTTAACAAAGGGAGAGACCAACGCGACAGAAGAGATAGAAGACCGAGGGGTATGTAGAAATAAAATTCAAGTCTACGTAAACACCCTAGAAATATTTAGATCTCCCAAGGGAGAGTGGAGGCGAGGACAGGCACAGATTAGATACAACTGCAACTTCTCTGGGGCTGCTGTGACTTCTCTTTATCCCACTTTGCTGAGGCAGATAGTATCTTCAGGCCAAGGAAGACATTCTGTGTTCTCAAATTGCACTCAGGCAAAGCACCGCATCTCACCAATTATTTCGTTGTTTGTGGATGGCTAGAACATTGGTTTAGCTCCTTTCCTCTGAGGAACTGCAGCAGGGATTAAAGTGGCCTCAGTCTAATTGCAAAAGGAAAAGAAAAGAAGGAAGGGAGGGAGGGAGGGAGGAAGAAAGAAAGAAAAGAGTGGGTGCAGGGAAGGGAAAGTTGAACATATTTGAATACTGTGTTAATGTTCAGCTGTGCAAAACAATTGCCGTAATCTTGCCTATTGGTGTCCTCATTTCCAACAGTCATATTAAGGACCTGGCTTCTGACACCCAGTCTTTAGGGAGAACAGATAGAGGTGAAGGGAAGAGAGTCTAGTATCCCTAAAGAAAGAATTTCCCTTTGGCAGTTTCCAACTTCAGGTTATATCAGAATTCTTTCCTCTTAAGCCTTTCCTTGTTTTCCTGGTATTGCACTTAAACACATACACTCCCAATCCCCCAAAGGAGTGCTTCCCCACCCTGATGGTCAGTTCCATCATTATCCTAGGAGGGGAAGGTAAATTTGGTTTTTGGAAATTGAATGGGCCAGAAAGGAACTTCATGTACATTTTAAAAAAAAAATCCTTGCCACATCCCCACCCTTCTCTCTACTCTCACTTCGCCCAACGTCAGACCAATGCTTTTGGACTAAAGACTTATTAAGAGATAATTTTTTAAAAAACATCAAGCGCATACATACAGAGAACAGATTGGTGTTTGCCGGAGGAGGGGGTGGGGAGTGGATGAAATGGGTGAAGGGCATCAAAAGTTACAAACTTATAAAATAAATAAGTCCTGGGGATGTCATGCACAGCATGATGACTATAGTCAGTAACACTGTATTATATACTTGAAAGTTGCTAAGAGAGTAGATCTTAAAAATTCGTATCACAAGAAAAAAATTTGATAACTGTATATGGTGGTGGATGTTAACCAGACTTATTACAATGATCATTTCACAATATATACAAATGTCAAATTATTTTGTGGTATATCTGAAACTAATATAATGTTATATGTCAATTATACCTCAATTAAAAAAGAAAGAAAACTAAAAATAAAATAATTTTAAACAGGTAAATCATGACTGATGTACAAATATAAAATTAACATGTTTCAAATGTTTTTATTGAACTTATTAATTATGAGAGAATCAGTAAACTCTTACATTTAAAAGGAGAATTCAAAATATCAATGTATATACACTCCATCAGGAATGTTGAAATGAATTTATAAACTGTTGCAAAACCGGTCAATACTCACAGGGCAATAATCAGTTGTATTCCACTAGAGTCAATTCATTTGCATTTCTATGGGCAAGGATCATTTGCAGTGAAACAAGTTGTGTACAATTTACACAATTGTAAAATAAAACACCTCAAAGACAACGGCAGAGAGAACCTGAGAAGATCCACCAGGCGGGATGCCCAGGAACCCTTTTGCCCGGTTTGAAGTCCTTCTCCATTTGTCCTGACAGAGGGGCCCTAACAATACTGGAAAACACTATGTTATCCCTCTTCATATGTAACTCAATATAAAAAACACTAAACGAAAACCCACAAATTTCATCACAAAAGTAAAATACCTTCTTTCCAGAATTTTGTATTGCAAAACGATTGTTTTATTGCTTCCGCTTTGCTGTACCAACTTAGTTTGCTTTTGGAGTAGTCCTCTCCTCCTGCTAACTGAGCTCTTGGCCACACTGGGGCCCTCTGCAGTGAAGTTCTGTTACAGATCCAGCCTGAGGACAGGCCAACAGCTGATATTAATAAAATAATTCTAAAAAGAAAATGGAGCCTTGGCTAGTGTGGCTCAGTGGATTGAGTGCCGATCTGCAAATTGAAAGGTCACCAGTTTGATTCCCATTCAGGGCACATGCCTCAGTTGCAGGCCAGGTCCCCATTTGAGGTCGTGTGAGGGGCAACCGATTGATGTCTCTCTTGCACAGGGATGTTTCTCTCCCGCTCTTTCTTCTTCCCTTCCCCCTCTCTAAAAAATAAATAAAAATAAAATTAAAAAAAGAAAATGGAGAACATTATGTAGCATTATAAATGGGGAAAATATCTGAAATAGAACCCAACCATTAATCATGTTTCTCAGAACACCTGCATATCATAAGTCACTCCTTACAGTGTACCTCTGTGTTAAGGCCACCACGCTAATTTTAAGTCTGAGGTTTCACCACAGCACGTCCAGAGGCTGGGCAGTATGGTCCTTTATCCGCAGTGTAACATGCCGCCTTGACAACACTTCAGGTATTTGCTGACAGTGTTGGTTAAGAGCATAATTTTCATTATTCAGTGCAAAATAACTAATTATAAATCTGAAAAAATTATTTTAAATAAAAGTTGCCTAGGGAGCCAGCAGCTCTTGATTTCAAAATGAAAAGATGAGAGCCGGACAAGAGGATAAAAAATAAAACAATGAAGTCTCTGGTTATACTTTGTTCAATTTTCTCTTATTCTGGGCTGGAAGTGGAAACAGTGAGTATAGTGAAGAATATTAAGGATGCCCTGGGACAACAGCAGAGTGTGTCTTAGGATGACATTTGCCATTAGGACAGAGCCCTGCCAGCCACCAGCACTGCTAGCAGGCCGCCAGTGTTTGCCCAGAGGTTATGATCACAGCAAGGCAGCTGTTTTGTGGTTAACACATGTCCATCAGGCCAAAGCTGATGCAACGTTATTTCCACATCTATTTAGGTCCCTCTCGGTTCTTGCTCCGATCCTGTTTTCTGCATTCTGACTCCTGGCTCATCGTCTCCTGCAGCTTTACTCATCTCCGGTCTCATTGAGTGAGTATTGATACTTGGGTAGTAAATAAGCTATTATTTTCTGACTGGTGGCTTCGTATAGCCTGTGGACCTCTTCAAGTGTGGTAGAGCATCAGTTCCCCTGGTTTCAAGCCAGCCTGATCCTACGTGGGGAGTCCTCCCCTCCTAGGCCCTCATCTGCAGCTGCACCTCCCTCTTCCGGCTCACTCTCTGCCTACATGCCTGAAGGGCTTGTGTTCAGAAAGCTCTCTGCCGCTCCCTCCAGGAATCCAGCAGCGCTACCTCCAACTACTTTCTAGCTCAGGTCTGTCCAGGTTAATGACTTGATTGCTTAAAATAATTCAGGATTCAGACACTCCCAACTTGCAGTAAGAAAGAGAAAGCAAGCAAAAAGTGAAACCAAATTTAATTTTGTCCATAAAGGTAGGAGTTGATGCTTAATAGGTAAAATTATTAACCTATAGGAAAATCATATTTATTTTAAATCTCACTTGTTCATTTCATAGATATTTATTAAGCATATTCCACGTTCCAGGAATTGTTCTAGCAACTAAGGGTATAGCAGAGAATAAAAAGAGAGAAAGTTTTGGTACTGAGTTTACACTGTACATATAATGGGGTTCCTTAGAGTTAGGAGGTAAATAATTAATGATTTAAGAGTTCAATTTTATAGAGGGGAAAACTTTAAAAGTCTAATTGATATGCTAATTTATGTCCTCTCAGTTAATCACAGATAGAGTAACCATTAAACTTGGAGCAGCAACTTGAAATAAAGGCATAGTGCTCCAAAAAGTACAGTCGTACAAATAATATAGTTAGGCAATAACAAACATCCTGGGACCCTCTTTTTCCCCCAAATTTTATTATGAAAAAACTCAAACATTCAGAAAAATTGAAAGAATAGTACAGAGGATGACCATATACCTATTATCTAGATCAATTGTTACCATTTTGCTGTATCTGGCTGATCTGTAATTCTTTATATATAGTATATTTAAAATTTCTCACTTGAAAATAATTTCCAGATTACAGAAAGGTTGCAAGAAAATACAAAGAATCCTTACATGTCCCCTTTACCTAGACTGTTAACAGTTTTGCTCCATTTACTTTTATATTCTTTCTGTGCATGTTTGTAGGTATTTTTTCAGAACCCTTTCCCCTATATATTTCCGTGCCTATTTTTTAAAAACAAGGACTTTTTATTACATAACCACTGTATACTTACCAATTACAGGAAATTTAAAATTGATTTAATATTTTTATCTAATCTACAATCCATATTCCAATTTTGTCAACTGATCCAATAATGTTCTCTTGGGCATTTAATTTGTCTCCAGTACAGGATGCAGCCCAGCATCATATGTTGCATTTACTTGTCATGCCTTTTCAGTTTCTTTTAATCTAGAACATTTCCACAGTCTGTCTTTGTCTTTGATGACATTGGCGTTTTTTTTAATTTTTGTTTTTGCTAATTTTACTTTTTAATTTTTATAATATATTTATTGTTACTCTATTACAGTTGTCCCAGTTTTTCCCCCTTTGCCCTCCTCTGCCCAACCCACCGCCCCCCCAAGAAGGAAACAAAACTTAAAAAACAAAAAAGTGCGTCCCTCATTTGGAAGTTTTTTGATGTGCATCCGCGTCTCATCCTGAGTTACCCTAGAAGACGCTGAGGCAGTTTAATGATCACATCTTTATTAGGTTGTGCCCTTAAGTTCCATATCTGCGTGTGAAGGGTGGGTGGGTGGGGCAAGACTGGCCATGGGGAGAAACTGGGCTGCAGGGTGGGACTGACAGCCTTCGGGACTCGCTAAAATGGGCCCATCACAATTGTCTCCCGTTCGGCCGGAACTGGCTAGGCCTCGTACTTCCATTCCAGTGTCCTGAAGGCCGTGCCTTTGGGCAACGGGGGCTCTAGGTAGCAGCAGCAGCCCCCTAAGGGCTGCTGGCTGCAGGCAGTCTCTTGACTGCCTTCCCAGGAGCTAGGACGACAAGTGTTTTCTGGAAGGAGGAAATGTATTCTGTTCATCATATTTCATGATAAGAATCAGGGTATACATTCCCAGCCTGACAACTACAGTGTGTATATAATTTTTCAGAATCATTTGAAAACAATTTGTAGACTTCAGCCTTAAAAACTTCAGCGTTCATCCCCTACCCCGCTCAAAAAAGAACATTCTCCTACAAAACAATATCATGAGCATAACTAAGATAATGAAAAATACTTTCTTAATGATATACAATCCATTTCCAATTTCCACAATTATTCTCAAAATACTTTTCATAACTTTTTTTTCTTTCATTGCTTTTTAAAATCAGTATCTAATCAGTGGTCACATATTATTCAGTTTTTGTATCTTTTCTCTTTTAATTTGGAATAATCCCCCTATTTGTTTTTCTATGACAAAGATTTTCTAAAGAGACTAGGCCTGATGTCTTGAAGAACTTCCTACTTTTCAGAGTGTTTTTCAAATTTGAAAGTCATAAAACAATGTCATAAGAACTGAGAAAAATCCCCTTCGCTTTTGTTATATGATTTTAAGTACTTAGTGAAGATAAAACAATTTTGAAGGATGTAGGCTATGTTTGCTAGAGTAGAAATTGAAGTCCTGCTTTTGTATTCATTATTAATTAAATAGAGTCATTAGAGAAGTAAGGACATAAAATGATTTATTATAGCAATTTATTACACACTTATAAAATTGAGTTAACTCAATATGTGTGTGTGTGTGTATGTCTAGGTTTTACATAATCGTCACATCTCTGACAAAGAATGAAACAAACTTAAAGCTGCTTAGTATTTTTTTTTAATTTGTCATTTGCTAGTAAGAACAGTAAATGAAAGAATCATGTAATCTTATCCAATCAATTATATTGTATTGCAATCATATTATATTGTTACCAAAGCTACTTTAGTTCTTTAAATGTAGCACTATCATTATAAGCAGCTTTAATCCTCTTAAAATATTATGACTCATTCATTATAATAAATTAAGAAAGACAGGAGACACAACAATCTTTTTGGATTATTTCCAAATAGGCTTCTTTAATTACTGTCCTTCCATTGAACCAGTTAGAGTTTTCTGATCAAAAATGATTATATCCCTGCTGCATATTAGTAAAAATACTTTTATAATTTATCAGGGGCCACTACTTGACAACTGGCATGAGTGTCTTCTCTCTTTCCTCTTTTTTTTGTCTCTCCTTGTTCCTTTGTTCTTTTTTTGTATGGAAAGAATTTACTGTTAAAACTATATTATAAGACTCATTTTCTCTCCAAACTAAGAAATACTCCATAAAAATTAAGTGGGAAATTTTCTTTATAAAAGAGCATGCAATTTTATATGGGATAATGTAAAACTAAAGATTTAATGCGTAGGATAAGATGCAATCAAGAACAGAGAGATTTTGCCTATTTGAGCCAATCTAGTTTGATTCAGCACCATTCTTTGAGTGCTCTTACTGCGTAAGTCCCTGTACCGGACCCTTTGATGAGCCACAAATTTAGTCAATTTATTGATCCATTAATTCATTTATTCATTCATTCATTTTTGTAGTCTGTCGAGTTAAAGCAATTTTAGGAAGGAGAAGGAGGTGGAAGAACAATGTACATTATTCCATAGGAGTTTAACTATTAGGCGAGTTATAATCTTCTTAAGTTTCATAAGCCTAATTCTTTAGAACACCATGCTGTTTGGGTCAAGTAGTTTTCAGATGCACAAAGTGTGCCTATTCAAACTCCCTATTGAGGTGACATTAGTGAAAGTAACAAAGTAAGAACCTTAAAAAATTCTTTCCTCTGCAAAAGCGACAAGAAACTGGCAAGGTGGTCAGAATCAGCTTTTTCCGAATTCTGGAAATTACCCAAAGACTATCAATAATCAGAAGTATTTATTTAAAAAGCAAGAGAGAGAGGAAGGAAGGAAGGAACGAACGAACGAACAGAGGAAGGAGGAAATAGCTCAACCTCAGTAGGAGAAGTGAGCTTTGTGACATTTTTAACTTGCTCTAGTCCATCCTGGAGTCTTCTGCTTTGGGATATTTTTAAAACCTAATAACCTGCATTCTGGGTGAAGACCAGCAGCCTGGCAGCCTTTGGGAATAACAGAATGGAACTGGAATGGAGTTCCATCGAAGCTTCATTCCTGGAGAATTAGCATATGACCTGTTTGGTGGCTCCCAGAAAAACCTCACTTACAAGACTGTCTTTATTGGACCTAACTTGGAGCTCAACCATTGTGAAAAGTTTTTTACCCATAAGCATTTGTCAAAAATAATTGTGGGTAATTACTTAACTTTGCAGCTGCCTGAGGTGATGGATACCAGTAGGAGGAAGGCATTAAATTAACCAAAAGCTTTAAAAGAAAAATGGGAGAATCAGACATACAGAGGTGCTTTGAAAAGCTCTTACATGTACCAGTGAATCAAGAAGGCCACACTTGCCCTGGCCAGGTGACTCAGTTGGTTGGAGTGCCATCCTGAACACCAAAAGGTTGTGGGTTCGATCTTGGGTCAGGGTGCATACAGGGGGCAACCCATTGATGTTTCTTTCTCACCTCAATGTTTCTCTCTCTCTCTCTCTCTCCCCCTTCCTTCTCTAAAATTAATAAAACATAGCCTCAGGTTAGGATTAGTAAAAAAAAGACGGCCACATTCATGCATAGGGTGTGCTCATGTCCAGGATCTGTGTGTTGTCAGGACCTAAAAATGCCCTAAGCTCTCATGTGGATGACTTGAGGTTTTGTGCAAGGAGAAAGTGATGGCTAAGGCTGAGGGAAGAGTGTGCCTCTAACACACACACACACACACACACACACACACACACACACACACGCCCTTCACCAAACACTTGGAGAGTGATTGGTTCCAAGCATTTCAGGAAAGTTCCTGATCTAACATTTTACCTTTTGTGCTCTACAGGGTGGTAACAACAAAGGGAGGGCCACATGGGCCATAGGACAGCCAACAGCTTTGACGTTTCTCTGGATTCTTGCTCCCATTTCAGCTCAGGCCACTAAGGA